ATTTGCATTCTATGTGGCCATTGTAATGAATTATGGAACCAAACTGTGGAGAAGAATGTTCTGGGAGAAATGGTTAGTGTCATATTTTTTTGCAAGTATATAATTAAGAGAATTTGAACATATGTCTACATAAAAGCTTACATATGAATGTTCATAGCAGTATTATTTATAACTCAAAAATGGAAACAACCCAAACGTCTGTCAACTGATGAATAAATATAGTATGAACATTACTTAGCTAGTGTGGCACTATAAGATAAGCACTGTACTGCTACCTGCAAGATTTGTGTGTAGTTCAGACTCGCCAGTTGCTCCTCAGAAACACTATTCAAGGTTACTGTGTGTTGGAACCAATTCAACAACACCTAACAACAAACAACTAAAAGGAATGAAGTACGGGGACATGCTACAACATGGATGACTCTTGAAAGCATGGTAGGTGAAAGAAGGTAGTCATGTAAGACCAGATAATACGATCCATATGAAATATCCAAAATAGGCAAATGTATAGAGATAGAAGGAGTTCTGGTGTGGTGCTGTAGCATAATAAGTACTGGGCCACAAGGTTGGTTTGAACCGCAAGGTCTGCAGTTCAAACTCATGAGCTGCTCCTCGGAAACCCTATACAGGGACACTATGAGTTGGAACCAACTTGACGGCACTTAACAGCGTCAGCAACACATTTATTTAGTGGTGCTCAGTACATTCAAATTTGTGTAACCATGACCACTAAGTTTAGAACATTTTTATCCCCCTCTAACAAGTACAATTATGTACTCATTAGCAGTATCTCTCTTACCTCCCTCTACCTCTGTTGTTAATTACTGTTGAGTTGGTTCCTACTCATAGCGACCTGTATAGGGTTTCCGAGGAGCCGCTGGTGAGTTTAGACTTCCAACCTTGTGGTTCAAAGTGACTTTGAAGTCTGTTGTTGTTATGTGCCATGGAGTCGGTTCTGACTCAAATCTGCATAGGGTTTCCGAGGCTGTAAATCTTTACGGGAGCAGAAAGCCTCACCTTTTTCCTGCGGAACAGATGGTATTACAAGAAAAATCAGATGCGCCGTATACGTGACTCTTAGGACAAATTGTGAGTGTGAGTGCTGGGATGCAGTGAAAATGTTTCTCAAACTTTAATGGCATTTGAATTACCTGGGCATCTTGTTAAAATTCAGATTTTGATTCAGGAAGTCTGGAATAGTCAGATTCTGATACTGCTCATCTGTGGCCCTCACTTTGAAAGCAGAGCAGCAGAGGATGTCTTCAGTGAATGGGATTAGTCTAAGAAACCTTCCGGGAGCTTGGACGATTTGGCCAGCTTTTTGTGGGAAGGCAGGAATATAGATTGGTGGACAATGCACACAGATTAAGGAACCACAGATTATAAAATGTCTGTTAGGGACAAGAGGCATGTTTTCAAGGTAACGGTACAGGCCCTAAGTCTTTTGTACCTGAGAAAAAGCAGCAGCCAATCTCTGTGTATTTTCCATTCTCGTGGCATTTTCTTTTGCTCTCTGACGTACTTGGTTTAACTTCTTTGAATTCTGGGTTTATGTGGATTCACATAGCTCAGGGCATTGTGAGAATTCTGGAGGGGTTGATTGGCTGACACAAAAAACGTTGTGTGTGTGTTGAAGGAGTTGGATATGGGCCCATATCTTAGTACCCTTGCCCTCAGAGCTTACCCAGTTAACTACTTGGGCTCTGAACAGGGTGCCTTTAAAGTGGGTTAGTGCTTGACCCCAAATGAATAAATTTCGAATGAGGGAGCAGATAAATACTTTTTTCAGATGCTACAAGTTAATTATAGCTATAGTTTACAGTTTTCCTTTGGAGCCTGAAAACTAGTTTGGGTATAATTTAAATAACCTTTCAGTTCTGGAGTCATCTATTAAAGCGAGATCATCTCTTGCTTTTTTTTTTTTTTAAGTTTTTAATTGTGAATTGAGTTTACAGGGCAGATCATCAGTTTTACATTCAACAAATCATACACCTTGTTTCATTACAATGATTATAATCTCCTCCATGTATCATCAGCTAACAGTATTTCTCTCTATCTTAGCTTTTTTTTTAAACACTCAGGCATATGTAATAATTTAAAACACCATTCTGCAAGTCTGCCTCCTGACCGACAGCTCGCAGTCCCTGTAATTCCATGAATTTAGAGCCCTCAGCTGCTCTCTCTCTCCATGGCCTCATTTCTGCCTCCATCTCAGGTGTCGCTGGTTCTCTGGATAGGGTCGCATATTCCGCTTGTGCTTTTCTCCCTTGATGGTCCTAGGATCCTCTGTTTCTGGACTGTAAGATGAACTACTCCCCAGTTTTTGTTAAAAACTTCTAAAAGCCAGATCATTTCTTACTCTTAGCATTTGAACACACTTTGAAAGTCTAGTCTCAGCCTTTGCACTTCAGGTTCTGAGCCGCTTTCTCTGAGGCACTGAAAGCTTTACTGTCCTGTGCTTCACCAACATTCAGTTTCCCAGTGTTTCCTATGGTTTATAAAGAATGTCCATTTTCCCAGGAGGAAAGGCAATGAAATCACTTGGTTACATTATAAAGAAGTCAGAAGTTTTATTATATTTTCTAGCATCAGAAACTAAGGCATAGGCATGCTTAGTCCAGTATCTCACTGAGAGGAGCCCCTATGACTTGACTATCCCAGTTCTCTGGATCTTCCTAGCTGTACCCACATTGGGTTTATCATGCTTCCTTGGACATGAAGTTTTTTTTTTGTTTTGACATGTAGTTTTTAACATGATTTCTCTGATATCTATGTTGTTGTTAAGTGCCGTAGTAACCCATAGTAACCCTGTACAGGGTTTCCAAGGCTGTAAATCTTTACAGGAGCAAAAGTCTTATCTTTCTCCTTCGGAACAGCTGGTAGTATTGAACTGCTGACCTTGAGGTTAGTAGCCCAACTTGTAGCCACTACACTACCAGGGCTCCTTGATATCTATAGAATAGTCCTTTCCTAGATGCTTATTTATTTTTTCATGTGTTTGTTCTCTAAGCATCTTCAGGTGAAATACTGGTTTGTCAGCGTACTTGCTATTGGAGATAATTTTGTTTAGTTTATAAATGGTTTATACTGAAATCTGTACTCTTTTCCTTAGGAAGACCCAAAAGCAGTTTAAAGTGTGTTTTGGTTCTGAGGGAATTCCTAGATTTATGGAGTGGGAATAAGACAGACATAAGCGGGGCCAAGACTAGGACGAGGGAAACAAGGTGATAAGGCAAAACTTTAAGGAGACACACACTCTCAAGGTCAAATAAATACAGGGTTGGTACCAAGTGCGAAAGTGTCTATAAATTTTGTGCTTTACACCCATTGCTTCTCCGACTTAGTCCTGGTCCTGAATTTAAGAAGCTAGATCACTTGGAAAGCATGTCTAAGATAACATAAAGCTATGAGTAGAACAGTACTTTGCAAATTCATTGTCTATACGGATCACTTGAAGAGCTTAGTAAAAGGTAGGTTCTAATTCAGTAGATCTGGAGTGGTGCCTGAGCTTCTGCATTTCTGTAAGTCTTTGGGGCCACATTTTGAGTGTTGTGAAGTTCCATTGAGTTAGTCTGGACTGTTCCCTATGCACAAAAGAACCAAACATTGTCTTCTCAATTATTGTCATGTTTGAGCCCATTGTTGCAGCCACTGTGTCTGGGTCCATCTCATTGAGGGTTGTCTTGTTTTGCTGATCCTTTGCCAAGTATGATGTCCTTTTCCAGGGACATGTTCAAACATGATAATGTGTCTAGAGTATGTGAGATGAAGTCTCATCAACTTTGCTTCTAAGAAGCATTGTGGCTGCACTTCTTTCAAGGTGGATTTGTTTGTTCTTGTGGCAAACCCTGGTTCTTTCAATATTCTTTGTCATTTTGAGTAGCAAGGAGAAAATATCTGTTAGAGAAAAGTAGAGGGCTAAATTGACCAAATTAGGAGATCAAGGAAGACTTTTCTAGGGAAAGGTGAAATTGGAGCTGGGTTCTTAAAGGATAAGTTAGATTGTTGTTGTTAGGTGCTGTAGAGTCAGTTCCAACCCATAGTGACCCTGTATAGGGTTTCCAAGGAGCAGCTGGTGAACTTGAATCGCTGACTTTGCAGTTCAAACAGCTTTGCAGTCTGGCACACTAACCCACAGTGCCACATCAAGGAAGGGCATTGCCAGAAGAATGAGGCATATAAACAAAGACCCAGAAACAAGAATGAGTCTTGTGTGTTCTGGGACAGTGAATAGACTGATACGCTAAGACTTATAGGCCGAGGTTTTTATAGGTATAATGAAACCTGTTGCCCTTTAGAAACGTGGTCTTTAATTGTCTGCTCAGGTACTTCCTAGCTGTGCCTTTTCTACTTTATGAGTGCAGTTGCTCCCTCTCAGAGGTGAAGGCGGCCTTGGTCCTTCTAGGGAGATAAATGCCTAAGTCAAAAGACCTCCTTTAAATAGTGATGGATGTTCCTGGTAAATATTTGATTCGGTAGTAAAGTTCTGCCTATTTCATTTCAAATGTTGATTTAAAGTACTTTTCTGAATTTATGGTAGAAAAAGTAGAGTAGACATTGAACATTATAAAACACTGAAGAAATATTTGTTGATTCATTTGTGATACTGCACATCTTGTCCAGGAATCCTTCCCTAATATATATTTGGCTAGAAGCCACTTGTATATTCTCTCATAGCTGTCTTTATCATACAGTACAGACATTATCTGTTTCTATGTCTGTCTTTTTCACTAGGCTGTGAGTGTCTGGGGGTTAGGACTTTTTTACTCTTTCTCTCCCCATTGCTTACCACATCATATATAGCACATTTTCTGTCATAAGCATAAACCAACAAAAATGATTAGAAAAGGAGATCAGAGTGAAATGCATTGTTGAAGACTTCATAGAAATCATGACACTTGACTTCCCAGAATTCCTTGAAGATACATGTGAGCGCCTTCTGTTGGGTAGGGACAGTTCTAAGATAGTAATGGATTTTTTTGGTGGTGTCTTTTCTACAGGTTGATATGTCGGACCTGTCCCCAGAGGAGCAATGGAGGTAAGTGTGGCACTGTGGGCCCCTCAGGCTGGGAACTGCAGGTTAGCCCAGATACTAGATTTGTGTATCTATCCATTTGCTTCCTTGTCTTTGGGAGGGAGTGACTGGTAGGATAAGTCTTTTGGGGCTACCTAGTCCCTGGGTAGCCCCCTAGGTCCTAGGGAGGAAGTAGGTAATCTATGTTATTGTTAAGTGCCATTGAGTCTGTTCCAACTCATAACGACCCTGTAAGGGTTTACAAGGAGTGGCTGGTGAGTATAAACTGCCAACCTTGTGGTTCAAACTGACCTTGCAGTCCAGTGCTTTATCCCACAGCACCACACCAGAACTCTATAATGTATACCATACCATTTATCTGTGTCTAAGTATCATTTCTGCCATTTACTGGCTATATAATATTGGGAAAGATACTTAACTTCTCACTGCCTTAGTTTTTCCAATTGTAAAATTAGGATCATAATAGTACCTATCTCTTAGAGTTGTGAGGATTAATATATGAAACTTTTAGAACACTGAGTGGCATGTGGGTTCTCATGTTACCCGTTTTGACATTATCATCATTATCCATGATATACTTTATTGCCACAGTGAGTCAATAAATAAAATCTCAATATTATTTCTAAGCAGTAAAGGGGTTTCAGAGTGCATGTCCCCACATGTCACAAAGTGGTTAACAAATGAGCTGAAATTGTTTTCTAGTACTGTTGAGTTGGTTCCAACTCATAACAACCATATACAGGGTTTCCAAGAAGTGGTTGGTGGATTTGAATGGTCAGCTTTCTGGTTAAGAGTCTAGTGCTTATCCTACAATGCCACACCCAGACTACCCAAGTAAAATCTAATAGAAAAAAATGCTTCGTTTAAATTAAAACTATTAATCATATAAGAATTGTTGTTGTTGTTAAGTGCTATTGAGTCAGTTCCGACCCAGTTCCGAGGCTGTAAATCTTTACGGGAGCAGAAAGCCTTATCTTTCTCCTGTGGAACAGCTGGTAGTTTCGAACTGCTGACCTTGCGGTTCGCAGCCCAATTCGTAACCACTACACTACCAGAGCTCCTTCATATAAGAATGTTGTTGTTGTTAAGTGCCATCGAGTCGGGTCCGACCCATAGCGACCCTGTACAGGGTTTCCGAGGGTGTAAATCTTTACGGGAGTAGAAAGCCTCATCTTTCTCCCGCGGAGCGGCTGGTAGTTTCGAACCGCTGACCTTAAGGTTCGCAGCCCGATTCGTAACCACTACGCTACCAGATGGTAAAATAACCAATTCATATGATAAACTAAGTGATTTTAGGTGAATTTAAATAATGGCAACTAACATCAGTAACAAGCTCAGTATACACCAGTTGTATATCTCAGCTACCAAAGTGGTGCAAACAATGCAGAAGGTGTTTATAGAGATGTCTTATCTTCCTTAAGGGAGGTGACAGTACCATTGTGCTCTGCTTTGCTGAGCCACGTTAATTTTGTCCTAAACACAAAATGTTAATAGGATTTTAAAATTGGACCCATGTTTAGAAGAAGGCCACTAAAACAAATGATCCTCATATCGTGCTATACACATGATGTGAGGATTATTTATCCTGTGGTTGAAAGAACTAAAACTGTAGCATTGAGAAAGAAGAGTGGTTATATCCTTTTGTTGTTCCAGAGAATAGGATTTGGTTCAATGGATAGTAATTTTTATAAGACAGTAGATTTTTGTTTCATTAGAAACATCTTTTAATAATCAAGGTATCTTGAGAGGTAGTGAGTTTCTTGTCATTGGGATTTTATTCATAAGCAAATATGAATGCCTATATGGCACTTAACAACAACAACATAATATACCAGATACTGCTAGTTATAGGATAGACAACCTCAAGAGTCATTTGTTATCAATCAGTGGAAGTATTTCAACAAAGGACCACAAAAAGAATTTCTGCTTTGGTAGGAGCTAGATAATTTTTCTAAATTCTTTGACTTCATGTTTTACACATTTATTCAGTTATGTACTTTCGTGGTGTGGTGCTGTGGGTTAATGAGCCAGACTGCAAAGCTGTTTGAACTGCAATGTCAGCAGTTCAAGTTCACCAGCTGCTCCTTGGAAACCCTATACAGGGTTGCTATGAGTCGGAACTGATTTGACAGCACTTCACAACAACAACAATACTGTCTTAGGAGTCCTGGTGTGGCACTGTGGGTTAATGTGCCATACTGCAAAACCGTTTGAACTGCAAGGTCAACAGTACAAGCTCACCAACTGCTCCTTGGAAACCCTATACAGGGTCGCTATGGGTCAGAATCGACTCATCAGCACTTAACAACAACATACTGTCTTAAGGACTCCTGATGTGGTGCTATAGGCTAAACACTGAACTGTGAACCACAAGGTTAGCAGTTCAAATGCACCAGTCGCTCTTTGGAAACCTTATACAGGATTGCTGAGTCAGAACTGACTCTGACACTTAACAATAGAATACTGTCTGAGAATAAGAAACCTCTCTTGGTGTCTTTATAAGTTTACATAGCATATAGATTTTTAAACTGGTCTCCATCCTTTTCCCTAAAAATAAATGACAAATTGTAATGTACAAAAGTGGAGTTTCTCAGTCAAGTCTATGATGGTGGGTCTGAACCTAAATATCTGAATCCTGGCTCTTGTTTCTGTCAGGTTACGTATCCAGGATAAAGCTTTATACAAGAGGAACCCTTAGATGCTGTGGCTGGCTACTCCTACAGCTTGACTTACAGCTGCCTGCTCTGCCCACTGAGCCGTCCTCCAACATTGTTTTATAAAATAATTATAATTATAGAAAAGTGACAAGAATTGTGCAGTAAACACCATTTTACCTACCATCTAGATTCTACAATTAACATTTTGATATGTTTGTTTTATCATATAATTATCCATGATTCATCCCCTTTTGCTATTGGTCTCCATTGCCCCATGGAATTCCATGTTGTTCTGTCTCTCCATCCCTAGTACAAAAGTTCCGGGCTTCATTTGCTTTTTCCTAAGTCCTTCTCCCTGCTTTCGTGTGGCTGACTCTGACCCAGAGTGGTGGGAGTGGCTATTCTGTTCTATTCTCTAAGGAAACTTTTCCCCAATATTGACTAAGGTAATCAATCCTCAGGATCAGAAAATGCCAACCCCAGATGAAATAAATTCCATCTGTACACTCTAATTACTGATCTTCTTTGAACTCTTGAGGTGGCTGTTTTCCTGTGGTGGGTAGTGGTGAAGTCATTACTGAATTAGCATAAAGTTGAAGTAGTCTGGATTCTTTGGATTTAAAATAATCTAAAGGATCCCTGACATGGCAGGGAGGGTAGGAAGAATGAGATAAGACTTTAACCCTAGAATCAGCACACATTTGCGGTGTTTTTATTACTCACTTATTATTGTCATAAATACCTGTGAGACTTTTTATGGCTATAACCTTCTCTCTAAATTATTTTCTCCTTCCAGTGACAGGTCGAAACAGGCCTGATATGGGCAGTGTCACTGACATCTTCTGGGGTCTCCTTCCTCCTACAGGAATGATGTCAGATGTTTCTGCCACGGGGATAGGGAGAAATGACAGAGTATCCATTTCTGATCTCAGTACTCAAACTTAGTTCCCACAGTTACTATAGAGCCCTGTTTGGTCCTTAAGTGCCTAACTTCCAGGTTGTGTCCTTCTAGCCATTAATTGTGCACAGTATCTTGTAGCTGCCAGGCACAGTAAGGAATGTATTCTAAACTGATGGGCTATCCTTAGAAAAAACTGCCCCTTATCATCCCACACCATGTGTGACTTTCCTCACCCCATCTTTTTGACTTTCAGGGTTGAGCATGCACGCATGCATGCCAAGCACCGAGGCCATGAAGCCATGCATGCTGAGATGGTCCTTATCCTCATCGCTACCTTGGTGGTGGCTCAACTACTCCTGGTACAGTGGAAGCAGAGGCACCCCCGATCCTACAATGTAAGTTACTTTGCTTTTCATTTCTTTTTTAGCCACCAATCAAGAGCTCGTTTGTAAGGATTCTAGGGCCCTGCCTAACCCAGACCACATGTAAGCAGAGAATTGTTGATAAGTTCCGTCAAGTCAGTTCTGACTCATAGTGACTCATAGGGTTTCCGAGGAGCACCTGGTGGGTTTGAACCACCGACCTTGGTTCACAGTCCAGTGCTGATCCTATAGTGCCACACCAGAAGCAGAGAATAGATAGTAAAAATGAAGTTTACATATTTGAATGATGAATAGTATATGATCTGAGTGTCTAATGTATAAATGATTCAGAGAGCAAAACAGGGATAGAATATGTGACTACTTTTATGGCCAGAAAAGGTAGGGCTCTGGTAGCGTAGTGGTTACGAATCGGGCTGCGAACCTTAAGGTCAGCGGTTCGAAACTACCAGCCGCTCCGCGGGAGAAAGATGAGGCTTTCTA